GAGCCCCTACTCCTACGTCGTTCATCAAACCTGACATAATCGCTGTTCGAGATAGCTGTGCAAATGTAGTAGACGTCAGCATAGTTTCGGATGGGCGTGTAGTGACTGTGTGGAATGAGAAGAAGCAGAAGTATGGTGCTGATGAACATTCCCTCGCCATAATCTCAGCCCTACATGCCATCGGTTGTGATATCGACTTTTTGGTTCACCAACCGGTGATCATCTCCTATCGAGGGATCTGCTTTCCTCAATCCGCTAAGGCTGTTATTGGACTGGGACTTCCTAAGGTCGCAGTCAGTGACTTGTGTTTGCTTGCCATTGTGGGCTCCCTGCGTACTTATGACACTTTTATGCGTGGCACATGGCGTTGAAGGTACATTTTTGCCATTTAATCTCACCCCAGACCCAGTATGACGGTCACTTTGTGCCTGATGTGCGAGTCTTGACTGTGCTAGCGCCTACTGCGCCTTGAAGAGCATTCACCATTGTTTGCCCTTTCTTTGGTTGTTGACGCGTGTTCCCATACCAAAATCTTTACATACTTTGGGATTCACCTCATCAGACTGGCACTGCCCTTGGCATGATCTCGAATGAGACGTTTCTCTCTTTTCTTCCATATTCTTGTTACTCTTTCGCATTCATCGCTTGCACTCACTTTTTATGTTTGTGACCATGCTCTTCAAAAATAAATGATAATAATACACATTCAAGTACTTTCACACGTTCAATTATTCGGTCGAACAGAGTACTTTGTATGTTGGGAGAAATCACACTGTTTCAAGGACTCTTGACTTTATGACATTCCTTCCAATGAAGCATGAAGCTACCGAAAATGTCAATCTCATCGGTAGCGTTGGTGTCGTCAGGACTGAAAACCTGCATTGTCTACCTTTTCATACCAGACAACATCACCGCCTGACGTCAGCTTCGTCAAACACTCCTCGCATCCTTATTCTCACGATTGTGAGCACCGTGTCGCGCTATATCATAAGTTGATCCGAGCCAACACGGCTGCAGAAAGTCCAAGGTCTCGTGTATACCTTCACTTCTGACGATGGTATTTTGGCCCCCTATATGTACACCTCCGGAAGCCGACTAATTGAAGTACAGTTTGTGGTCATTCGATTCTGGGCCAGCGGTATTCGCTTTCAGCGGAATGGCTGGCCAAAAACCGTGATGTTGGGTGGATCGATCAACCAAATCTACTAAGCGAGTGTGTTGCGCCCTACCTGACTGGCATCCAAGTTCCGCTTGCAGCAACTGAAAAGTTATCTAACCAACTTGACCTATTTTTTCGCGGAAGACTTACTCATTCCCTCCACATCCCCACGATCCGCATCCGCCATTCGACAGGGTGCAAAAATGTTTCTTCGCTCTATCCCTTTTTCATTCCGCTGGATGGTTTGTTCGAGTGCTTGGCTCACATATTAGGACTCAGCGACATCCGAATCGAGGGTGTCAACCTGGTGGGTCGAATTCGCTGTCTTGCCGGAACGTACTGTTGCCTTTTTGAAGCCAAGTGTGAGAACGCCAGGATGCATTGAAACTAAGTTACAGGTACACCGTGCATGCCGTTTCTCAGAGAAAGTCTAATAATTCAGCCTATGATTAGTAAAACGCCCGGAGTCTACAAACCATATTGTCGTAGGACTCTTGCAGGAAGAGCAGTGTCACTGTGATCTAAAAAATGATCATTGCGGAGGGATCTAAGCAGACAGAATGATCGTCACTCCTGAATTAAATGTAGTAAGTCGTGACTGCGGAAGGGACACAAATTGATCGTGAATACTTGACCTGAATCAAGCATTGTTAGCCGTTAGGTGCGGGTATAAAGCCGTCCTTATAGGGTTGGCTAGCATGAACTCATTAAAGCTCTGATTGGAATAGAGCAAAAAGAATGAACCGCATAGGTCATAAAGCTTATCGGTTGCAATCATATGTCGGGTAACGGACTAACCTTGAGCCAGTTTGTTCAATCGTACTGTGTGGATTCTATCTGGCTCGTAACAATTATTTCGTAAGGTGCACTACACACTACCGCACGAGGCGGGGGATCGATGAACCCGGACAAGCTGCCGTACAGTGGGACCATCCTGTGAATTGGGATGAGCTCTAACTGTCGTCGAATAGCTTCTATTCAAAACTGACTCGATCTTATGCACTGGCATGCTGTGTGGTCATAATGAGTGGAAAATGCATGGATACATATTTTTCGGGTATGACAGCTCGTGTGGTTGTCTAGGCTTAATGTGTATGACGCACTTTCAAGGGTGGCCACTCGTTACTGGGATTTGTTTCGGAAAATTCTCTTCTGATACTCCATCTGGTCTTGCAGATAATGGTTTCCACACTGATGTAATGAGGTGAACCGAACGCTTACGAGTCCCATCGAGGTGTCTAGTCACTAAAACGCCTAAGAAATTTAGACAGTCATCGAACTTGACTGATGAAAGCAGACGGGATACTAATATCTCGCGGCCTACCCCCCGGGGAGTTGATTAAGAGAACTCGGTGTTTCAAATAATCAGAAAAGTGCACCGTACGACCCACATTATGTCCAGCTGTGCGAACCAATGTATTCGGGAGATTGTCTCCAGGTGGCTAGGATAATCGCCTTAAAGTCCATCCCTATTAGATTATTATCAAACCATCCTAACGAGAATTCGTTCGATTTAGTCGTGTGAGGGATGCCCGAAAAACAGAACCTGTAACGAGAAACACCCACGGGTACTAATTATAATGTGAGAGATGTTACGGCAGTGAAGCATCGGTGTTGAACACTGATGTCATGCTGTCGATGATGATGATGAGCGATGTGAATTATTCTGATTTCCTCCTTGTCTCCGCTCTCATCTAGAGAGGATGTCTGTATAAACTACAGTCAGCAGAGGCATTCAGCCAAACGTATAATCTGGGGCTAATAAACGAGTTTTCTACAAGTTTTTATCGAGAACAAGTAAACGGTTGGAACCTGAATGATGTAAGATGCATTCAGCCCTCGCTAGTGCCAATAATATCTACGATACAGAAGGAACGGTAAAATTACTCATAAACAGCCAGTCACGTTAGAGGTTATAGATACTCTTTAAAAACTACATGGGCAGAAATACTGAATGGCGATGATACGCCCGTAAGTCAAATACCAAGATCGGAAAGCAGCTAAACAGATGCCTGATCAAATACGTGCGACAGATGCTTTTCCTGAGCGGTGAAAGGATCTTGGTTGGCCTCCCGTTCAACCGCTTCTTTGAATGGTTCGGTCCCTAGGTTGCAACACTAGTTCTTCGCAAAGTACCGTTGGCTTATGGAAGGGAACTTCATATCATCTACTTGTCGAACGTACGAAACACCATCACCGCTGGTTTTTTTCATCAATTAATACCCATGACAGAGGTCACTAGGATAGAAGTGATCGGATACTAGGTCGGAACCGCTGTGGAACACTGTTGGACATTTTCTAAGGAAGTAGCTTCACTTGAGAGGTATAGTCGATCGATTCCCCGTCGTTTTTGCCATGGTTAAGCACCACAGTCGCCATTAAGATCGGCTAAAGGATTGAGGAAACTGAGCCAAGCCTGAGCGATAGAGTTCAAGATATTGAATACAGTCGCAGGATGCGACTTTCCATGAGTAGTGACAGCGATCCAATAAGGGTTGTTCATCTTCCCATCTCCGTTTCCAGCTCGCTGGAACCTGAACCACCGGCTGTTCAATCTACTGAGTGAAGTGTTATTCGCTTATCGTTTAAATTGTCACACAGAACCACTGAGGATTTACTCCGTTACTTCGGTTCTTTCGTGTGATCCCACTGTTCAGCTCGGAGTCCCTTAACTAAAGGACCATTTTTCGCTTTTTAGCTGCTGACCGACCTTTCGTTTATCAGGACTGGCCTATCATTAGCGATAACACACTTCACCGAATGCTGTCCCCTTTGCCCTACTTATTCCCCATTTGCAAGTTGTTAACGAGTGGGATGAAACATGATGCAGCCTCTTCCACGGATCGCACCGTTACACATGGATCACTTTGCAATTTACTCAATCTGCTTTAACACTTAGTACGAACTGATGTATTCGCCTACTGTTTCCACTGGTTTGGACCACCTTTGAACCATAGGTTTTCCCTTCATTTCCTCCTTCACTCACGGCACCCGGAACCAACAAAGGCTGTTCAATCAGTAGAGCTCAAAAATGAGGCGTCTGATTGTTTTACGAGCTTGGGAGGGTCCAATTTTTGAGGTACAGTTATCGCCGATCGCTAAGACCGGCATGTTTCAAGAATCTCAAATGCCTGTAGCGACGACGCGACATAAGTGATTCATTAAGGGCAGCCTACGACGCACCAGTGCCATCAATACTTCCATGCGGAAGTGAAGCTTGGCCTCTCCGAGTGGATGGTACCATGCAACTCACTGCGTTTGCTCGCCTTTGCTTAAGAAGCATCTCGCGTGTCTGATGACAGCAACGAGTAAACAATGCTGACACATGACTTCCACCAAATGCGGATGAAATTATTGCCAATGACAATACAAACGCCGCACTTATATACAGTCAACACAGCTAAGGTCCTATTTTGAAATTAATGGGGGATTTAACACATCGCAAACGGCAGTCTGTGTTGGTAGTCCCACTGCCGTACTTATGCCAGTTTGACATTGTAAACTGCTTTACCTCTAATGCTGAAAACGTATGGCACGAAGCATAAAACTATGCATTAGTTGACTTAAATAAACTGACCAGAGACTGAACATCGTTGACCTCAAGCCAAAATCATAGACAAACAAAAGGGGAACCATTTGAACCTACCATGGCAAGCGGATCGAACCGAAATCGGGATTTTTTCCGGCTCCTTCCATAAAGTCCTCATTTATCGGTTTACGCTACTCTCAATTCACCACTGAAAATAACAGCTGTCTTTGCGGATGGCAACTCAGAACATACAGCACATGAGAAGGCTAGGTGCTTAGGTCAACCGCTGAATTCCATAATATCAGTAAGGAAGATTGATCAATGCGAAAATTTATTTTCACTTTGTAGAAACTGATGGCCTTGTGGGCCGGGAGTTCCAGAAACTACGGCATGTGTGTACAGGTGGAAAAAAGAATAGTAGATACAACTGAATCAGGGCGATGATAGCAAGTCACGGTCGAACAATACGTAACCAAATATACATAGGCAGGCAATAACGGTACAACAGTGATCACAGCAACAGAACAGAATCGAATAATCCGACCAAATAGCTACAAACTTGGCGGGACGTGAGTGACAACCTGAAAACTATACTTTGCTGTCATCCCCTCCGCCCCGAGAAATTATACGACGGGTGAAAATTGATCCTGATACGAGAAGTTATACATAATCCGATAAAATTTTCAATGATATTAGATACAGATGAATCTGTGTATACATATGCGTGACTTGGAACTGAATGGGTGAGTGATTGGGATGGGATAAGTGTATATACCAGGTAGAAGGAAGTATCACACTTGGCGACTGCGTGATGTTATCGTCACGATGGGGATGCTGAATTCTTCACCACTCTCTGAAGCGAGAATGGACAGTATGGGATAAAGATATGAGGGGTGGATGGATTAGTAACTGTACAAAAGCCAAAAGCGACGACGCATTGTGCAGTAGCGCGCACACGTATAAGTGGCGGTAGGAAGAAGAGCAGAAAAATCAAGAGGGCATGTGCGTGTCACAACCAAAAAAGAAAGAAATATGGGCTGAAACCACCATCTGTTGGTCTCTTCTCCGCTCTTGTGGATGCGCAGCGGAATACGAAGTTAAGGGTGAAAAGGGCGAAGGAATACACTTCACACAGCGGGCGTCGATGTAAGAGGATCTGCAGTAGTGCACCGGGAAAATGGTGGTATAAAATCCAGACGTGCTGAGCCACCGCTAGTTTGCTCAGTCTGTCGTTAAAGGTTCAGGAGCGGTGGTTTGTGCGCGCTAGAAACAGGTTTGTAAAACGAAGATCAGGATATTGCACAGTGACAGCGCGCCAGTACAGTCGACATCGTTGGGACGTGTTATGGCATTTGGCTCCATTGAATTGATGGACTGGGTCTGTTCAGTTTTGCATCTAACTACGTTTCTGTTAAATGGTGTGTTTCGTGGATCCAGCGAAAGTTGGATAGCGCTGAGACTCGAATGGGGAGTTGGACTAGAGAATCGATGCAAGTGGTCGAAAAGTAGGTGACCAAGTGATACACAATGGCCGAATGCACGTAAACGGGCAAACCGAATCGATCAAATGAGTAGAAATTCTGAGTGGTTGTATCGCAGTATCTTAGGTCCTTGCAGTTGTATTCATTTTAATAAAGTTGTGAACCAGGTTGGAGACCAGTTTTCATCAACTAGCACGATCACTGGAATACAGGAAAAGATTGTGAAAGGAATGAAAGTTGGGGCATCAGTTTGGCGAAACACATTTTGGTGTTAACGAGAGACGCTACTGAATCTCTCGTTTATGATAGCTTTCAGCTAAATGTGCTGCACAAAGGCCATCTCATGTTTCAGTTGGCACCACGTTGGAGGTATCACAGGATATTTACTTGGCGTGGCACGCTACTCATAGGGTTGCTGAAAAGTTTCTGGAGATAAAAGTTATGGTTGCATAGTCTCGACACATATTCGCCATGAAAAAATGCATTAGACTGAAGTTATCCATACCACCAATCATCCCGTCTTCGGGGATAACTGGAAATCTGCGAATATTGGCAAGTTGCACCGGTTGTTGCAAGCTTGGGTTCGTCGGTGACGTGCATACTAATTCATCTGCAACATTTGGTCATTTATTGAAGATGAGCAGGATTTTTGGACGAAATACATTCCTTTAAGTTGCTGTTAATGAGAAATTAAGTTGAGATTCCGATGAGTATTCCGTTACCACTAACCTAATTTGTAAATAAGCGTATCTCGCTACTTGAGTACATTTTGGTGTTTAATTAGAACACAAAGCAGACAGAACTTCGGGAACTATGCTCATAAAAGAGCAAACCTGAATGGGGTTACTGAATTCTTCAGCCACCTTATGGGTAGTGTTCCATGCAAAAGAAAGTAAGCAACCTGGTTGTTCGGTCCACACTATGTCTCCAGGATTATTCAGGCAAAGGGCCAAGAAGCAGTTTGCTTGCCTGTATTCAGTGAATTGGCTTTATGGCACGCGAGAGTGCACCCTTCCTATGAAGCTGAGGTGGTGGCCATAGACTCTGGAGGTACTACAGACATTGTACATGGACAGCCACACCACACGGAGAGAACTATGACGACATAGTGGGAAGTAACTGTATCTTTATGAGTGCTTTTCAAAATAAGCCGTAAACCGTACGCAATATGCTGGTGATCAGAGTATTTCACCTAAGTTGATCGGCTTATCACTATTAGCCAGATCGCAGTCTGACCATCCTGATTCAACGAAGGACGCTACGCCGCACTTTCGTTCGCATGAAAAATACAACAGGACCATAGAGAAAGTGGTTCCAGCGACGACGATGGAATCATAGTCTCCAACAGGATATTTACTTGGCGTGGCACGCTACTCATAGGGTTGCTGAAAAGTTTCTGGAGATAAAAGTTATGGTTGCATAGTCTCGACACATATTCGCCATGAAAAAATGCATTAGACTGAAGTTATCCATACCACCAATCATCCCGTCTTCGGGGATAACTGGAAATCTGCGAATATTGGCAAGTTGCACCGGTTGTTGCAAGCTTGGGTTCGTCGGTGACGTGCATACTAATTCATCTGCAACATTTGGTCATTTATTGAAGATGAGCAGGATTTTTGGACGAAATACATTCCTTTAAGTTGCTGTTAATGAGAAATTAAGTTGAGATTCCGATGAGTATTCCGTTACCACTAACCTAATTTGTAAATAAGCGTATCTCGCTACTTGAGTACATTTTGGTGTTTAATTAGAACACAAAGCAGACAGAACTTCGGGAACTATGCTCATAAAAGAGCAAACCTGAATGGGGTTACTGAATTCTTCAGCCACCTTATGGGTAGTGTTCCATGCAAAAGAAAGTAAGCAACCTGGTTGTTCGGTCCACACTATGTCTCCAGGATTATTCAGGCAAAGGGCCAAGAAGCAGTTTGCTTGCCTGTATTCAGTGAATTGGCTTTATGGCACGCGAGAGTGCACCCTTCCTATGAAGCTGAGGTGGTGGCCATAGACTCTGGAGGTACTACAGACATTGTACATGGACAGCCACACCACACGGAGAGAACTATGACGACATAGTGGGAAGTAACTGTATCTTTATGAGTGCTTTTCAAAATAAGCCGTAAACCGTACGCAATATGCTGGTGATCAGAGTATTTCACCTAAGTTGATCGGCTTATCACTATTAGCCAGATCGCAGTCTGACCATCCTGATTCAACGAAGGACGCTACGCCGCACTTTCGTTCGCATGAAAAATACAACAGGACCATAGAGAAAGTGGTTCCAGCGACGACGATGGAATCATAGTCTCCAGGACCGGTATGTTTAGCATGTCTTCCTCCTGAGTCGAAAATTTGGTCGACAGGTTAAGTTGCTGCCTATAAATATAAGGACGTAACCTTACGATATTGGTAATGAAGCCAAACTGATATGGTTCGTTCACATCACCTGAGCCGAACGAACGTCATCGTTCATTATTAACCGCGGAGTTTAAGTTCTTTTTTGAGATTTTTCTATAACTTACGGCTTGACATTCGCCCGTTTGTAGTTTAATGATGAAAATTATTCTTGTTTTGTTGTTACCGGTTATCCAAATGAGCATGAGCTCTACACATGATCACCTGCGATTATCAGCTGTCCTACACTCTAATGACCATCTACAATGAATGTGCCAAGACATAAATATAGCTCGACTGAATTGTCACTTAGCTCATCGCGCGCAGGCAGGTTACTCGTATTGGTGACTCCATACATTTAATAGTCTGCTCGGTCGCGGCACCGAGATCAAGGTGAATCAAATCAGCAGACTCTAGAGAAACAGTCATGCTGGCCAATTAACGGCGATTAGTGTATTCAGCAATCGGTTAGCGTCTAGCTAGACAACACTGGTAGTTAGTAAGTGCAGACTAAGTCAATCCCTTTACGAATGTACTGGATATGAATGAAGACGGAGACTGAAACCAGTAATCAACTATACCAACAGCAAGTAATGTACTGTTAATCGTACAAGCGAGGTATACGAATCTGCATGAGTATTTAATCCTGATCGCCTATCTGCGCATTGTGTAACAAACCTAGGACATCGTTTCACAACGATGGATACACGAACATAACAAATAGCATCAGCTGCACTTTACATGGGCCCGGTTGCACGCGCACCAGGACCTACGGAAGATGTTCGGACAAACTCGAAGAACAAGCCCGTCAGAGTACCACTATAAGGTGGAACAAAACATGCACGTGTTGTCACGAGCCTTGGGTCTAGGTGCCAGAGGATTTGAAATTTAATGGAGCCAAACAACATCATAGACAGAAACAATGACGTATGGACAATGTGGCAACAAAAGCGCTGACTCAATGCGTCCCATAATCCATTCCGGACGGCCACCAATCGTTGGCTACCGTGTCTACATTCCTTTGTGTATTCTATCCTGAGCATTTGGGATCAATCAGATTAGACATGCTACTGCGGTCTCAGGAGCGCGCTCATCCATAACTTTCCAATAGCTGCGCACCCAAAGGCGGAAAACCAATGAAAACCAATTGACTACGGTCGAGAATGAAACAGTATTGGGGAAAAAGGTCGAAACATCAAGATCTCTGTATGTATGGTTCCCAAGAACGATCAGGGAAGAGAAACTTTACATTTGTGGATGTGGGTATCTACAACATTCCGTATTCAGGAGTGTGGAGCGACCATTTAGTAAGTCCCTTTTATATGCGTTTTGCAAACAGAAAACGACTCATTGCTCAACCATGAAGACAAATATGCCATTAGAGTAGTAGAGTGGACAATGCAATGAAGTGGCGTCTAAAGTACAAAAACCGCAATGACTTACTGGCTTCAAACCGTAGTAATCACAACGAGCAAATGCGACTGGTTTGCTTGGATGACGCGGCGATTCAGGTCCGGAGCGGCGAGGTCCAGTTGCGTGTGAGAAAATTCACAGGGTGGAAATATGTGGACGACATACAGGCCCTGAAACGAGCAAGCAAAATAAGATAACATAATAAGATTGGAGAGGAATATTTCGGCTTTCGACCAGGGACATCAAGATCTTAAGCGAGATCCGTACAAACGCGGCGACTGAGTCCACAGTTCGATGCAACCTGTATCGTTGTAGGTGGTCAAGAACAGTAGATGTGTTAATCGAGCCAAAAGTAGACTCACTATACGTAGAGGTGAGTGTACAGCGGTTGCTACATCTAAGAGGAAATGCAAAATGACAGATTTCAAAGGTTCAGTCATATTAAGCTCTGATTCAGGTAGACACTAAGTTGCCCTCCAGACCGTTCATCAATCTAAATTGTGTGAAGTCAATCAAAAGAGTGAACCGATCCACTCAACCGAGCGATAGTTCGCGTGCAAGTCTCCATGGCTCTTGCTATCTAATCCGTTGAGGATGGCTTGTTCACGATACATCAGCTACTGGTTAGCAAAAATTGACAGTACGGCGAGTGTGAGGACAGTGGAACTAAACCCCGCTCACTTGTTTGGATAGCACTCTATAGTGAAGAAAGTATGCTGCCATGCCAGTTTAGTATGGAGATTGAGAATCCCACAAAAACCCGGACATTACTCATAGCCGCTCAGGGAAATCCGGAGAACTCTAGACTTGAATGTCCTGCCCAATGGACCAAGACAGCTGCTTGAGTGCAAGTAAGCTAAGCTAAGTTACTTAAGTTTTCGCAGTGCATCTCAACAGCCACCTATAGGCTCCCGTAAGAGCCCGGATACGGTGTAGATTTTGTGGAGATGCTGCTGAGAGATGTGATGCTTATTGTGTAGCGATAAGCTGACTAGTTGTAACGGGTGCCCAGGTGCACTGCTCCGAGCATTATCAATGGCAGTGGCACTAAAAGAATACTATTTAGGCAAAACTGCATCTGTGAAAGAGTAATTAAACTAAGCAGTAAAAGTTCCGCAGATAAGGGATTTATGACAGAATTTTGGACATCCAACATATCACTTTTCGTCAGGTTTTCTCAAACTTGCTTTCAGGCTCGTTGTTATGAAATTGTGGAGATTGTCTATCCATAATTCATCACAGAACGTTTGTACAATGTTGATGTTACGGTTTCAACACGTCGAGACTCGAATGATATACAACAAAACGTGTGGGCCAGGCCTGACCACGATGGTTGTACTGGTTGTCTTGGTGTTAACGCCGGGAGCGCGGCATGTCTTCAATCGTGACGGGTACAGAACCAAATTTTTCAATGGAAATCGTGGCATAAAAATGGCCGAATTTCCAAGTTGGGATGTCTTGTGATAAGGTAGCACCAAATGAAAAATGGACCAACCTACGACTCCGGATTTGTGTGAGAATTACAAGCTGTGCGTGTCCTCATTTTTTGTGAACCAGAAAGAAACAACTAATTTATCTACTAAGTTTACCGCAATCTAAAATTTGAGTTATTCTCTTCGACACGTTGTTTGCAAGTCAATGTGGTAAAATACACTTGATAACGGAAGCTCCTAAGGCTTGGGTACGCATTCAAGAAGCCAAACGTCGTTTGCCTGTTCGGGGGTGCTAGTGTAACTAATACAAACCGCAGTCAAATTCAATCGCAGCTGATCGTACGTATGCATACCACATCGTCACATCACGGAATTTTCGTAGAAATATGCAGTCCTATTGAGCTGAGTACTGATTGTTCCAGAGGACCACCAACGTGCTCGGTATACCATCACCCAAAGATAATACAACGCATTTGTAACCCGGTAACAGAAGGGTGCAGTTGATTGTCTTGTCTCGCTGCATGAGGCAGCGACAGAGACTAAGTCGGTCGATCAGCAAGCATCAGGCGACCGCGACAGAATGTGAAGGTAGGCCGTTTGGTGGCAACGCCTGGCGTGACACGGACCAAGGATGAGGGAAAATCCCTCACCAGGACTGGTCTCGGCCAATCGGATACGAGTGGGGTAGAGCGAATTAACGAACAATCGATACGAGGGACAAGCGAACATGCATGGGCGCACGGCCACTGAGATGCGATTTGCGTTGGGATATTGATTGCGCGATGTGGATGAATCCAACTAAGACAAGCCTGAATGTTTGGCACGACGAAAATGGCAGAAAATTTCTCACTGGAATGGACTAACCAGGATAATGGTTTTCGGACTAGAGCAGGTCGATTCGACTGGGGGTTGTGAACTTTACGGTTCTACAGTTCTCCACATTCAACAACACAACTTAGACAAACGCATGAGTAGTCTGATTCTCATTCACATGCACACGACAAATACCAAATAGCATTGATTAGTAGTGCAAGCTTACTTATACAACGAAGTCTTGGTTAAAACAACGATCGTTTGTAAACTGTCACAAACGCACTGCTGGGACGGGTAAGACGATGCAGTTTGTTTCTGTTGGATATCAACATGTAATTTATTCGGGTTAGTAACAGGCAACGGCACGGTGTATGGCGTTAGACGGCGAGGACGTTTTCCCTGAGCTACATGGGGTGGGATCGACTGGACTGGTGGAGAGAGTATACTTGGGTGAAATGAGATGAGTGCGTGTTGTCCCAGGTCATGTGAATAGCCAACTTGCAACCGTTGGCTTTGGCAAGTTATCCGTTGTTCACCGAAGCTGCATTTTGACAAGACTGAGGTACGGACAAAGCGATGAAGTACGGGAAAACTGCCAGTGAAAGGAAGAAAGCTCGTAGCTGCTAAATTAATTTATTAGCGGATACCAGTCAAGCGGTTACAAACCACTAAACCCGAAATTAAGCACCTCACATCCATTAAATTTGGAAAGTGAACATCCCCAAGCGTCCTTTTGAACTTTCCTAGATATTCATTGAATATCAAACAATTATAAGCGAACACTGCAAAGCAGTCCCATAATTTTCATAGTAATCTTCAGATTCCGTCAGATACGGGGGCGGAGTCTGGACACCGGGCTACTTGCACCCTTCAGCAGCAGTATACTGGTTACACCAGGTGTCTCTAAGATGCTACGCTCCTGAATCGGAACGAATTCCAGCACAGATAATTATAAAGCCGCGATTAAGGAAGACAACCTGATTTCCCACCGTAAGCGTAATTGGGTGCTGGAGAGCAGCAAATCTGGTTTCGTTCACTAAATTGTCAGGGGCGTCATGTTGGTGGGGGAATTCACAACCAGTTCTACGCAAACCGGAGAAAACGGATAAATTGGGGATAACAGAAAGTGGGTCGGTCATTCGCGGTCTGATCTAATCATAATACTAACTGCGGGATGCCGAGAAATACACGCTTTATAAGGTTCCGACATTTATGTCAAGCTGTGCTGTTGAATGGTGGATTATTCCGAGGACGACTGTATTGTCACGTATTCACGGGTCAATGCCCTGAGGTCACGAAGTTTCAGAGCGATGCCCAGTTGCGGAGCCATTGTGAGAAACCAAATCCAGTAATTGCGCACCACCTTTTTGTCAGGGTAAATTCCGAACAGGGCTAAGGTATAATGATGCATCTTATACGTATACGTACATGCATCTTATAATGCGTAAAACAGCTCAGTGGTGTGACCAATGGAATGACTATGGTTTTCATACAAAGTGGGTCGATAAGAAGACAGCTGTCATGATCATTTTAACTCAGTATGAAAACCACCTGATAACTGCGCCGACATTGTTGTTGTACGGTAACAACATAGACAAATCGATAGACATTCACACACATTGCTCAAGCACGAACATGCTCGCCTGGTAAGTCCTGATGATTCAACTGTGTCAGTGTAGTTGCATCAAGCTTGCTTCTCATGTTGGCCTCACTTACAACCAGTCGCAGTATGATCATTCGGTTCACGACCGCTCAATCTTCAGACCAACTGAAATGTTTCCATCTAGCAAACGTATATGCAAATGAACCATGTTCAAGGTAACGGCACAACAGTAAAGCAGAACCAAACTGACCTGCTGAAAATCGGGGAAACCGACATTGATAATACCAGCAGCCATCTTTTCCTGCATGTAGCGGATAAAACTGTCATTTAGTATTTGCGTCTGCTGCATCAATTCAACTGCTCCGTTTCCAGCCGGAATAGCTAAACATACACAAGAGGCGCCCTCTTGGTGGATCTTGCGTTGCACTCCCTCAAGTTGTGCTGGTTCAAGCCGCATTCGTTGCACTATACGCAAGGGTCCACCGCTGGCTACCAGCGAATGTTGAGGTTGTCCACCCCCTCCAGAGGCAAGAAGTCGCATACAGTCATGAAGCAAGTTTGGATTTCCGTAGATGTAATGAAGTGCAACTCGAGTTTCTGCGTTTTTGAGCGATAGACGTCCTTGCCAAACCAACGGGTAGGCCTGAAAGGAATTGGGAGAAATGCGTAAGATTACAGATAAATACAGCGAGCACAAAAGCCAGAAAGGACAAATTTTGTCATACTAATTGATATAACAGATATATGAAAGGAAGTTACGACATGGTCTGAACCGAATTGGAACAGTCATAACAAATGACCATGGAAGATTGCAGGCCCTTTGCAAATGTTGTGAAGTCGCTAGGTAAAACATGAGACAAAGCTATGAACGAATACAGCTCTCAGGCTATGAACAGCCATACACAGCGAGAGGTAAATCGGGCATATCAGTCTTTTATCTCAGAGAATGGAGAACTACACAAACGAGAGAGCCGGTTGGAATTCAGTCGAACCTTATTTTCATACCGAGTTACTTTGCAAACGAGTGGTTACCGTCCCAATTTAGTGTACAAATAGAAAATAAGGGACCAGGTTCAACCGGTGAGCTCCACAAGGTGCGGAACCAGTAGCGGACTGTCCAGAATTTTCGTCATCACTATGAGAAGTGCCTTACGTGTATATATTCTTCCAGCGGGCAACTAGATATGAGTTGCAAGCGCTAAGAGCTTCAGGGATAACAGAAGTACGTAGACCCTATGAAGACCTTGGACAATGCCCAGCTAGCGTTGACTCATTCGAGCAACCAAGTATAGGCATTTTTAAACCAACCAGTAATTCTGAGACCGGGCGGTGCAGGATATCCAACAGAACCGGCAGTTGATCATGTCTATATTTTATCTCCATATAGCACGCGATTGCACTTCGAGCTGAAGCAAGCAAAGTTTAGCTTGCTCCCCCACGAACTTCGCGAGTTTACAAAAGGAAAACCGAAAGCCCAGTTACACGTTGGGCAAATAGAGTCTCCGGAAAACCTTCATCGCAACTTTAAAGCCTGGTCCCTCGTCCGAAACGAGAGATGATCACACCTGGGTTCTAAAGTCCCATAGAAACATCAAGAATGACGTTAAATCACGAATAGGTTACACTGAACATATCTAGTTGAGCGTTGTCCCAAAAGCCAATCACGCAGCCGAAGTGCACGTTTTAGGTGCGAAATCACCCTCCATCCACTTGAGTAGATCGACTACGTCATACTCAACTTGCCAGTTCATTCAGTTGCCATAGTGAAAGCTCAACGAGCCTTTGTAATCTTACTAGTCAAACTAAGAACTGTCTTTTTCAGGCAACGATTACTGAATCTACAAAAGTTAACAGAAAGACAGTAGTGAGATTGCCAAGACGATTACGCTACTAAGGTCGTACTCATGAATCCGTTTAAAAGACTTTCCACCCGTAGCACACTTTCACTGATTAACACCACCTTCGTTTGGAGGGGACATGGTGAGTTAGTTACGAAGGCCAACGGCGTAATGCCTTATACAACATTCCTTGTGATTTGGGTACCTTAAGTAAAATTTTGATTTGCTACAAGCATCTGATTCAGCTGATGCTGTATGCAAATGTTGCATATAGGAGGGGGTGATGAATTTGATAACTTTTCACAGAGTCATATTCGTGAGGTAAGACAACTCCTTTCTGGTGGTAGTTACCCGCGTTGAGCACAACGGATTGACGGATAATGTTAAGGTGAACGTAAATGAACTTACGTGACTAATTGACGGCCAAGAAGGATGAGCTGTCGGAGTTGTAGAGGTAGTAACAATTGGCGTGGACTGATTGGAGGCCGGGCGAGATTGGGTGATCGGAGGTGAAATCAAGGTCCCAGTGTCTGATGATCCGACTGCGCGTGACACGGCAGCCGCAGCGGCTAAAGCTGCATCTGTACCCATATTAGGTAGCCCAATAGGTGCCACCGACAAAGGAAGGCGCTGCTGTTGGTTAGGCGGAGCAACCAAAGGAGTTGTGTTTGGCGACGAAACTGTCTGACGCAACGGCACTTTGGTTTGTGCTTCCAAAAGATTAGTCGATCCGAAGTGTTTACTGCTCGCTATCCCAGCGCATGTTCTTGTATCGTTCATTTGTTGAGTCACCCTCCGAAGGTAGTTGGTTATCTGGGCTTCGGTTTCTCCTCGACCCAGTGCGTCGCTCATACCGCCGCACAAACCGGTCCCTCCGTTAACTGCAGCTTGAGCGAGTGCCATCAGAACGGATGGTTCTACTGAACCACCCAGTCGGTCGATGAGAGTTTGGATACTGTGGCTTGTCATTGGGGGAGCTGACAGAGGTGGGCTACGGCCTGGAAGCAAGGGAGCAGAAGGCGCCCGAGTTAAACCTCGACCATAGGACTGCTGCTGCATAGGAGTGTTGGTCAGTGTCAGTGAAGGCAGAGACACGAATGAAGAAGGCCCATTCCCCATGGTGTGTATCTGTGGAGCATTCGCTGTGGGTATGCATGGGCTAGGTGGATGAGAAGCGGCATTAAATGAGTTGTGAGGTATTGATGGTATAGGAAGTCCAGGAGGTATATGTTGTGTGCTTGGAACAGCCACTGCCGCACGGGATGATGGAGGCAAACACTCCTGAGGAAGGTTCTTGAGCTGTCGCAATACGTTCGTTACCTGTGATTCCACAGAGACCCCATCGACTGCAGCCTCCAGACGAAGCGGATCAGAAGTCTTCGAAGGAGTATTTTTCAAAGCGGTTCCACTGAGACGTTTGACTCTTCCGGTTCCTGTGACGCCCTGTGCAGGTGCGACAAAGGATGAGGAAGGAGGCGGTGGTTGTGTGGTACCAGGAGAGACTGTTTGTGGGTCTGGATGAGAAGCAGCAGGATGATGGATACTGGAGACATGCGGCGAGGAACTACACGGGGGAAGACCTACCGCAGTGGTATCACTGATAGTGGAGGATGACGTTGCCATGGTGACCACTTGAGGCTCAGATACTGGTGGATCTGGAGTTATTTTCCTAACAGACGGATTTTGAACTTCAGTGACAGGGGTCGGGATAGCATTCGTCGCTGAAAGAACCGCAGCCTAGGACAAAGTGAAGTAAGGAGAGTGCAAATAGTAGCTGACGACAACCAACACCACTTTAAATGTTGTTTTCGAACAGTAAAATACCATATCTACTGCACTTTGGGATATGCAGCACGGGTCAAAAGGCATCTTCCAACTCAGCAAGCAGAACACCAGCCATCTGTAAAACCTGAGCTACCAGTAGGACCATTTATAGGATATGCAAACCATTCTGTTACCTGCATCCAATTGCAGAAATCTCAGTAGCTATTCTCTGCGAAACATTAACATGAAACCGTCCCGGAAATCGGTCAGAGCTATTTCTTAAGGTAGTTCTGTACCAAGAGTATGGTTGACTTTATTGCTGGTGTCCGTGTCACTGTACTCAGTCCATTTTGGTTATGCACCAGAATTTCATACAATGAGAAGTCAAATTGTGTCTTGTTAAAACCATGAAGCGTATGACAACAGCGAAGGAACTGATCATCAGATCACAGGATGTTTTGAATCGAATAGAACGGGGTACTGGTCATTCAAGATTGCTGATAGTGTCAGGATGGATGAGACGTTGTCTCTCAGTTGGTGTTGATAGCTTTCTTTTGGTAAGTAGACGCTCATTTTTTCGTATTGTGGGGAAACTTCCTCGCTGGTTTAATCTTGATAGTATTCACATCACCTTCACTTTACGATCCACTGGAGAAATTGGCCATGTGCCCACGAAATGACAGATACCAGTATAAAGATTGATCGCAAGCTAAACAACATAGCTCACTTTGGATCACTCTTCAAAAGTTACGTGTTACTAATCGATGGCCCACATGGTTGTAGCGGTTGCTACCATACAAACAGGAATATGAACGCAGCACAGAACGTGGATCAGAGAAACAACGCATTCATTCCATCCATGGAGAGGGCGTCTCATGGAGCCTAAGTGAAAAGGGTAACGGAATTTACCGAAAACCGATAGTCCCAATGGACATTTAAGCCTTAGCTGATCCTCAAAAGCAGCTTAGTGTGCGTTAGGAAGGAATTTTCTCAAGACAGCTACAACCAAATGAGACTAATAGATGCAAAGAACGCTACGCAGCATGCAAACTACAAAGATGCCTACGTAGAATACGAGGCACAATCAGTAGTATGATAACCATTACCAAAAATTTTGGTACCATAGGTGTAATCCGAATTCGGGGATGGGGTCCGCTGAGTCACACAGCACTTGGCCGGAAGCCGTTTCAATGGCAATCATGTGGCCAGTTTGTGCTCAGAATGGTTGAGGTAGAGACCGCATATCTGTTCCTCCATTCATGTCAAGCTACTTAAAGTACATTGTGGTGACGGACACCGACATTCAACTCCGGTATTACTGCAAACGAGGATAGTGAAACGGCCTAAAGCCTACCGCATGAGCGATAACAACAACATGGCTAAGTGTTATCTTTCAGCGTTTATAATCACTTGTTTGCCCCTTGCCGCATTTTTCTACAGGAAGTCAGCAGCAACCCACGCAACTGAGTTAGATGGATGAAGCTTTCACGCTTGTCTTTCAACTGAGTGGCTGGATAATAACAGATCTGTGACATAGACGATCCGCTCAACATCAGCTTCAAAAAAACTTCTGAAATATAGAGGATAAACTAAGCAAACTAAACTACAGGACGTGTTCCTTATCTAGAAGGCATCTAACATAGCTTGGCGCTGTGGGCCTGGCGTCCTCACTACTGGGATGTTCCGAGCACACCAACGATTAACTGCCAAAGTCGTACGCTAACTTTTTACTCGATTTGCCATGTCTCTGGGGTAAAGCGAATAGTGTTTGAGTCGTTTCAGCTTTGTAAACTGTAACTGACGGACGAAATGGCATCAGCCAAGCATCAGTGTGGTAAGTGAACTTGTGTAAGATTTGGAGCTCTTAGAGTAAAGAGATAACAGCGAGAAAGAACTGGGGATGTAATATTGAAAAAATTCTACTGTGACTTACAAGTAGAACTTCTTGGATGAGATTTGGAGCCCTAAAGTAGCGTACTTCATTGTGCACCACTTGCAAAAAATCAAAACAGTGCTATAATGCGGATATGGTTTTGTGACAATGTGCAGAACCCGAATTACGTTCGTGACTGAGCACACCGGGTGTTAGACCCATCTGGTGAACTAACCTTTATGTTCGCAGCAGCTTGGCGAGCAGCATTCACCGGAAGAGTGATCGTTGTGGCCGAAATGGTACCTGTTCCGATTCCACCCACACCAGCAGCAGCTGTGGGTCCTGTGACTGTTACCTGGCTTCCCGGAATGAGTTGCAGGGCGGCAAGTAGGGTGTTGACTATGTTCACGATGTTATTCGAACCATTTTTTCCGGGAGCAAACGATTTACCTGCATTGGTACTTGAACTAACCGGAATGGTTACTGCTGCAACCACAGGCTCTGTTGCCAGCGCAATCGGAAATGGTTTGGCGGGCAACGAGGCAGGGGTGACTTTTGGTGCCGCTGGAAGGACTGGGGAGGTAGTCACCGGCGACGTTGCAGTGACGCCAAGGGTCTGCGCCACACAGACCCTAGGGCTTACTGAACCCTTGGAGGGACGGAGAACTGAGTTGTGTTGATCAGATCGCCAACTGTTGAGGTAACTTTCTACGTCAAATTGACCGGCACACACGTCTCGAATGACCTCGTCAACGCTGTCAGACTGTCCGGCAACTGAAGATACTATGGTGGAACCGAGTGTTGGGACCGTGGTTGGCGCAGCACTGGATGAAGTAACCGGACAATTAGCTTTGGTCATTGGACTGCTACTCGAAGTTGTGCTGCTTGGTGGCTGTAAGCTGGTTGCAACCGAAGTGATGACTACCGTCGCTGGCTTCTTTGTCACAGCAATCGACGTCTGGTTAGCGGCAGGCGACGAGCAAGCTGGAGAAGTTGAACGGTGATGATGCAACTGAGTATGGTCAAATCCAGGAGGAGATTCGTCGTCAAAGTTAGGTTCGTATGGGTCGACTGAAGTTTGTGTCTTTGTGTTAGATGAAGGAACCGAAGAACAAATCGAGGTGTTAGATTGAATACCAGTCTTCGAATTGTCATCATCGGTGACAGACGAGCTCACTGCTTGCTTTGAGGTTGTCGCATTCGCACTCGGTAGTGAATGCGGCGCGGCTTTGAATTGAGATTTGTCACTATTATTAAGTGTAGGCGAGAGATGAGACGCCGTGACCGCATCACTGTTAGTAGAACTGTTGCTTGAAATCTTAGTTTCAGATCGTCGCCGGCGCCGAGTGGGAACAGGTGAGGCCAGCGAAAGAGCGGATTCCGTCAAAGTCTGATCGGAACGCTTAGCAACAGCGCTCGCTTGCAGTTGGGCCTGTTGAAGTGAATGTCTGGTGACACGACCAGGCATCAGCTGAGGCTGAAATACAGTCAATGGAGCGCAGGCGTTGACGCCTGGAATAGTCGGCATCTGCAACTCAGATGCAGTAGGAAGCGAATCCGTGGAAGTAAGAGGGACAGACGCGGGTAGAATGCAGCTTACTTGCTCACTCGAGGTTACAACACCGGATGGTGCACACGCTGATGGAGTGGCTGTTGGGTTACACGCGACGGACCACTTCACATTGGTACTCAGACCTGATTTAATGGAAGAACATGTGCTTGTTGTAACTAGCAGGGGTTTTCGCTGGCTGTTTCCCGAACGTCTGCCGGCTGTTGATGTACTGTTAACTGATATGGGGGTCGTATGCGACATGTCAGAGACCGGCCGAGCAGATTGTGCACACGTGAAGTTTGGCGATGACACCGTTAGGTTTGACGACTGGTATTGGGCTGCTGCCGCCGCTGCTTGTTGTGTTTCCTCGACCCGCTCGGCCTTGACACGCTCGATCACACTCTGTACATAACGGGTTATGTCATGTACTTCAGTTGGAGGACCCAACGATGGAGGAATGGCAGATACGGGTCCTTTCGTGGCTTCTTGGGTATACGTATGAGTTTTCTTCGTCGCATGCATGGCAGGGTACGAGGGCACACTTGCGTTGCATGGCAACGCCCCTTCAGACGGATGGTCGAATTTGTTTGGTAAGTGCGTCAAGTCGGTACAATTGACATGCGAAACCAGGCCAGATGAACTGCAGGAATCTATCTGTCCAACATTGTGATCGAAAGTCTTGAGGCCCGTCGAGCAAGTTGTTGGCAACGGTTTACCTTCCAATTTGTTTGCTACTGGGGTAGTCACAGCGGATCGGCAAACTTTAGAGGCTTGAGTAGTTGGATGTGGAGGGAGCTCATCCTTTGAGTTAGCATCCGGCTTGTTAAGCGTAGTGACATGGACTAGCGAATTGTTGCAGTCTGTGGAAATCAAAGTTTTGGAGTCAACAGGTTGACAAACATCCAGGTTAGGTGAAACAGAGCATTCTGATATAGGAACACGGTCACGCATGGTTGATGACTGAGAGGAACTATCATGGACGAGATCCTGAGGTGGAGGCTCTGACGACACCGTAGAGTCGGTTGGTTTGACGTCTCGCTTTGTATCAACTATTAGCTGTGTTTCAGAGGCAATATTTGGAGCGACAACACACGTGGGGTTGTTTTCCCTGCATCCGTCAGACACGGCCACTTTAGACTCACTGCAAGGTGGTGAACTTAAAGCATCCTCAAATTTGTTAAGGATAGCAGCTGGATCGTGCTTAAGTGACATTTCCTCGGTCTCCTGTTCTTTGGTAGCGATTAATGGGAAGTTTCTAGCGTGTCTATGCGATTGATCTTCCTTCTTTAACTCTGCCGGTGGTACAGTAAACAATTTCGGCCCGTGATCTATGTGCAACGAGTCATTGTCTGACTCATCAGGTGTAGGGGATGGAAGCTTTCCGGTAGGTGATAACATTTGAGATGAAAAGGAAGTTGACTGATAGGTGGTAGACGACTGCTCCGTTCGGTCAATCGGACAATAATCCATGTCGAAATCGATGTTGGCTGGATGTGGGGATGTGGAAGACACACTCGAATGCCATTCGTCATCACTAAATTTCATCCCCAAGTCGCGTTCGATCAGCTCCATCTGTTCCATGGGTTCCGTGGAGGGTGTTGATTTTGAGTTGGTGGAAAACCTATCGGTATCAACAAAAGCATCAAAAGTAGAGCCCTTTGTGTCGTCCATGCAAATCGCCGATTCGTGGGAGATAGGATCACCAAGAAAATCTCGTTTAGAGTGCTTGTTTCCCAACCGAATGGGACTACGACAGGTAACTGGACTCGGGCTACGGGTAACTGGAAGACTGGAGTCGTCAGTTCCACTGTGTATTGCTAGCGGGTGGCGCTGTTGAGGCCATTTGAGACCGTTGTAATCGCTAGCACCTGTTGTGTGTGAGATAGAGTCAGAACATTTAATGTCTTCCGTTTCAGAGTCTAATACGGTCGCATCATCGGAAAAGTATGAATGTGGGCTACGAGGGCGTGATTCATATATACGCTTAGTTCTAGTGAAAGTCAGTCGCTGAGAAGTTGGCTTAGGCTCATTAGTTGGCTCCAAACATTGTTTCTTTTGGACCTTGATGAACTTAGTCATTCCATCATGTGGTCGCTTCGAACCCAAAGGATACTTCGTCTTTGAAACCTCTAGATTTTTCTTACTGGGTTTCGAGTGAGTGACCGACGATGAATTGACTTTAGACACGCTGCCCATAAATTTTCGACTGCGAACGCCTAGAACAGACACAGGACTCTTTCCTCGGGCGTCATTAGTAGACTGTGAAGACCGCGATGAATGTCGGAGACTGGCAGCTGTACGCTTCGTGGCACAAAGTGAAGTTCTATCAGAACGGGATTTCGGATCACGCATATGTGAGGTCGGAGTGCCTTTTGTTGTAGTTATCCGTGCATGATGTTCCTTTGAGGATACGAATGTATTGGATTTTGAGTTGGCCCGTTGATGGGCCGTCGACTTGTACTGAAATCGATGCAGTGACTTTTCGCTACTCGAGCAAGACAACGACGTGCTCAAACGGCTTAGCGATTCATTGTCATCATCCATCGACCATTTCGAATCCGGAGAACCTTTAGGTCTCACACATTCGTGATACGTAGCTGAAACGGGAAAGCGCATGCCAAGACTGAGGCGAGTCAGGGTACCTGGAGGAGACACAGAATTCCTGCCATCGTCACTGGACAAAGACGAAGAGAGAGGGCTTAGATTCCTTCGACGCCGTTTGTTTTTGTGATTCACTGGTTCCTTGGACAAACCAGAGGTATGACAGGTTATTTCTTTAGGGTTTATAAATCTTTCAGACTGGGACCATAAGTGACTATAGTGTTTAGTGTTCCACTCTGACGATTCTCCATTGAAGTTGATTTCATTTTTCGAGCGACTATTTGTAGATTCCTTAGAACGTAAAACATGGAGCTTCGAGGTAGGCAGACCTCGTTTAGATCGACCAGATTTTGAGCGATGTGATTTGCCACTAGAATTCGTGAAGGCTGTTTTGACGCTGTGCTCGCTGCCGAATGATCCCGGAGGAGTATATGGGACATTACTGAGTGCAGGGGACTTGTTCAACTGTTTTTCTTCCTTCTTTCTTTGTTTGCGACGTTGTTTTTCTCTTGCAGCAGAAGCCTCCAGCTGACGCTGTCTGCGTTCTTCGGCCTCTTTATTTGTCCGGCGTTTAATTTTGTCATACATGGATTCATAGACAGGAGAGTTAACACCAAACCAATCTGTTGAGTGTGTACTCAGACCACTAGCAGCGTAGTCACTTGAGGGTTTCTCGCAACCGACGTCTGTCGAAGGAGTGTAACCCCGGATAGAGTTGCAGTTTAGTGGAGGTGCTGATACTGGGGACAAAGGCTGTGACTCGTGTCCACGTCTAACTTCATTGCAACCAAATAGTTCTGAATGCGTAGACAGGGCGGAAGGAGAAGTCAACGAACCGGTTTGCAGATCTTGACAGGAACCGTTCAACTTTATGGATACAGTAAGCGGATTATTGGGTGTTACGTTGACGTTGGCAGGTGAACGAGAGTTAGGGCAGTTCGTAGAAAGGTGAAGTTTTAGCCCGGAGGAAACCTCTGTACAGTAAAGACGCGATTTACGTTCCGCAGACCACCCCTGATAGTTTGTCCGCGTAACATTTGAACGAGATGTAAGATCTGCAGTTGACAGGATTCCCTCATTCTTCACTGCACAGGATAGGTTTGCCAAAGCGGTTGAGGGTTTAGGCTGACTCGATGCCCCACTGGTAATTGGTTTTAACCCGGAAGTTTGCAGAGATCCAGGATGACCACCGGTTAAAGGACTGCTACCAGTACTGCTGTTACTGCTAGTGCTACTGAAGCTCCGACCACCACTACTGACTCCGCTGCTTGCACTGATACTGTTTTGCACTGCAGGGCTTGCTCGAAAGCTTCCAGTTAGTAACGTAACAGGTGGGGGGTGAGGCGTTGAGCAGAGCACAGTCGATGTGGGTAGTTGATTGTCAGCCGTAGGGCCATGTTCAGTTGGACAATCGCCATGAGGTGCTCGTATGGTGTTGGACAATCCAGCTATTGCAGCTGAGGAGCAAGAACCACCAGGACTGGAAAGACCACAACTACTGGTAGCAGAGCTTCGCGCAGGGGACACCACAGCTGTAGTGATGGTCGTCATAACACTCAGCGGACGACGCACTAGAGATTGAGACCCTGATTCTGCTGACCACGAGAACAGAGGGGCGTCACCCGATTTGCAGTGGGTAGAAGCAACTGAAGGCTCACAGGAAACGCAAACAGGAACGCTAGGTGATATGGCATCCTGCTTTCTGGATGGCTGATTGCTCGAAAGAGGTGCCGTTCGTCCACGCCGAGTAATTTTGCTGGAATTTAGCGCCCGAGGACTACCAGAGTTACGTTTAGCACTCGTATTGGAGGGCGTCCTGTGGGATTTGGAACGGGCCGAAGAAGCTGAAGAGCTAGATGAAGTGACGCTTGATGTTGAGCTACTAACACTACTACTACTGCTTTCGCTGCTCAGGCTACTGCTGCTGCTGCTAGTGCTTAAACTGCTTGGGCTTGTGTCACGCGTTCGATCAATAGACTGAATGAAACCAGATGAAAACAAAGCATCTGACGTAGCGGTTGTTCGTGGAGGGTTTGACGTAGCAATGTCGTGACACACGGATTTGTCGATAGCATTGTGAGTAGTTCGCGAATTCGGGGAAGACATCCGAGAGCTGACGGCGTGATGGGATCCTGATAGCGAGTCGGATGTGACAGGGAATGCAGGACACCGTGACAAGGTGTGCGTACCGCTGCTGCGTTGGAGGCGTACGTCTGAAGCAGAATCTGTCGTCTTGTCGGTTCTTGGGACACTATTGGTTGTTGTTGCTGCCGATTGGTTGTGAGTTGACGTAGGCGACCCAGTGGACTTTTGTGCACTTATGACGCGTATGCGAGCGGAACCACCAGATCTGTGATGAAGAGATGAAAGGAAGCATGATAAAAATAGGTATGTCTCAGAAATTCGGTCAAAAAACACAAAGGACTCAACACGAATATGTTGAAATCTGATTACCATAGTACTAAGCCCGTTCACTGTCCCACTTCATCATTCGGAACAGGGATTTCATCAATTGGAGATCATGGTCGTATGATGGAGGGGATAACCTTGGATAGTGATGTTGTCACGAATGTATGTGATCGAATAAGTGCTTTGGACCATCGTCAAGAATAAATTGCTCTAAGTGTGCAACATATACTAATCTATTGAAAAACTGCATTGCCATCAGGTAGGGTGATGCTATTTCAGAGCTCGGACAATTCCGAAATGACGTTATGCAAGATTTTTTTATGAACAGGCAACCAGAACATAGTACTAAGCTAACAAGATTTCATAAGACCAAATCGTGAAGAATCTAACAAAGGAAGCCACAGTATACTGACCTGGCGGCATTCAACTGCAAGCTGTTCACGAGGATTGTCTGTCTTGGACTTGCAAAATCCACTGCAAATGGGCGACGCGGTAGTGAAGGACTTGAAGGATGAGATGGAGGCGGTGAGGCATCTGCACCGAAATGCTTCCCGGAACGCAACTCTGAAAGAAGTTGCGAAGCATAATCGGTAGAAGCCAGGCGGATATAGGCAGCATAGTGCAGCTGCTGTGGTGATTTAGCAGACGAAGTTGAAGTCGGTTGGGTTCGAACATTAGGATCCGTTCGATTAATAAGTGTAATCTAAAAAGTATGGAGGCAGTGAAATCTAGATTAGGAGGGTAAGCACAAAGGATGTTGCTTCAAAATGATACCACATACCGTTAAGATGGGCAAGTGTGACTCAAAAGGCAGAATACACGAATATAGAGGTTTGAACAATACTTCATCAAAATCTACTGTTTATTAGATACACAGATGTGGAGGCGAACTGGTTTTACCATTATTGAAATTAGTGGCACAGTCGGTTGGCTACCCTCAGAAGTTTGCTCACGAAAAATGAAACTCAGGCGTGGCCACAGAACCATAGTTATATCTGGCCAAGTTCAACGAAGTGAGTTACACCTACACCATCAAGCAGATGGGCAACCCTATGGCTGAATTTTATGGGAACATATTACGTGTCAGACAAAAGTCACTGTTCAGCGCCACCAGTAGGCTTCTACTTTGGCAAGCACTCAGTACCACCACAGTTGGAGGATTGACAAACTTTGAGCTACGTTATAACGGAACGGGGTAAAACATGAGATGGAATTGAAACGACGATTAAACGACCCAGTAGAGTTGAAGGATGGTTGAATTCACCGGTTTCACAACAGGCCTGTGTTGCCAACGCTCGAATGACCTAGCTACGCGGGAACAAAGCGGTCGATGTGTGGTCATTGAAACGTTCTTCTAGCCTACGACAAGTATTTTTAAGATCAAAAAATAAACACAACTGTTCGTAGCAAACGTGTGATTCATTGTGTGTCGTAAAGTTACAAAGCGTGAAGATGACAAAAGACATCGAACAACCAGGACTGCTGTTGCCAGTACTGCAGCTACTACCTGTGACGAATAGGGGGAGGGAACACGGTTGCCAGTAGTCAAGATCGATAAGCGTGAGTGAAAAGATGTGTTAATGGGAGGGGCAAAATGAAAATGATTGGTCGAGCGTAAGTTGGGGTAGAAATTGGGACACGGGAGTCATCGACCCACAAGGGCGTGGCTGTTTCGGACAGATAGGAAGATGAATTTCGAGGTGGATCGATAGCCTTTAGACAGGAACCTTCTGCCATCTAATCAGTCCGTTTTATTGTGGCATCTGGTAAACTGGACCAGAACACAATAGAACCAATGACGCTGCTGACAGAATGGCGATGCCAGTGGTCCGAGTTCGATACGCAAGAGTAACCTGAAGCAGTTGTGAGTGAATTAAGGGCAAATGGGGAGTTTGCAAAAAACTGGGTGCAGAAAAGGGTAGGTCAGGAAGCAAAGCTAATTCCGCGTAAATTTCTTCAGTTAACGAAACTACCTATGTGCATATTTTTTCGCAACAAATTGTGGCGTATACTATACTATAGCACTATATATACTATATACACTATATGTACTGGAGGCGAGATGGCTGAAGCGGTTAGAGCTTGAAATTAGTGACCGGAAGGTCTGTGGTTCAAGCCCGACCTCCCGCTCTCAACTTCCCCTGTCTAGGCTTGGGCAACCTCGTAGTATCTCAGCCCTCGTGCTTCCTTCAGGTGCCATGGCAGCTAGGCACCGGGTGTTACAGCTGAACGATATATATACTATAACACTATGCTACTACGCAGGGAGTTGATATATTCAAGTGGCTGTTGACTTTATTCACAAAGTGATTGCGGAATCAATTTGGAGTGTTCATTGTGCGTAAAAATTTGCCGTGACAATCCGCCTTACAGAAAGATATACAATTAGCTAAGAACCAACGAGGATCACAAACGGGAGTATACTCTCTTGACGTCTTTGTAACGACATAGATAAATTATTCGGGACTTGTTTTTTTTTACTGTGGAAATGCTTCCAAAAAGATGTTTATTTATCTGGTATATTGTGGAAAAGGGTTGGAGAACCAATGATTGCCTTGCAAGGGGAACTATCACTACCTGGATGTTGATCTTAAAACAGCATGATACGTTGATAGTGGTATCGCCTAGGTGCTGAGTTTGAGTTGGCTGAACTAACCAACAAGCGTATAGTCAACAAATATACTCGACGCACTGTATGCTGGTTTACTAATTGTCAATGGCCAGTTAGGTGGCATGGCTAAATGTGGTAGGTGTAAGTAGTTCAGGATAATTACGGTAGACCAGCCTCAAGCTCAGACTCCCCCAGCTTCGTCCCTTTTTCCTTTGCATTTCCTGGAATATACTGTCATGGGTCTGAAGCTCAGCTGTAACACCTTTTCGGTGCTTAACTGCCAGTCCACCAGAAGCGAGCATGGGAGTTAGAATACCGTTAGGTTGCCCAAGCCTAGGCAGGGAAAGTCAAAATGCAGAGGTCAGGTTCGAACCACAGACCTTCCGGTTAGTAAATTCGCGCTAACCATTGCGTCACCTCCCTCCGTTGCAATGGGTCGTAAGAGTGGAACACCTATGATCAATAAGTTTGGATGTGAAGTATGGCTCCTTGCGGTTGTCAATTTTGTCAGGGCGAGGGTGAGCAACATTGGAAATAACAATACCGCTGGAGCGACGGGAGAGCAGTTCAGAGGCAGCGGTTTGGGTGGAGTAAGTCAAGCAGCTAGATGCAAATAACACCATTATGTGAAGATATTCCGTGAAATCAGGAAGGATATCAGTGTTGTACGAGGGATAAATCAGTGGAGAGCTAAAATTGGGGTTACATTCGCAACACACACCAAAAACGAATGCGGAAACTTGGCACATTTCCCAGGCAAATAAGAGTGCACAATTCTATCCCACTACACAAATTCAAAAAGCTTACTGCATGTCTTAAGAAATAAGCATGTAATGACAAACCTCTAGAATGGGCGCCAACCGGCTGAGACACTGAATCAACGCCCGATCGCTTAAGGAAGCCAAAGACGGTGGGAGATCTGAAAACCAAAGACCCAAGCTTGGGGGACTGGGCACGTAAGCCAAGTGAAGTGGACGGCCACCCAAACGAAGAGGATCTCGTGAATGGGCGTTCATCGCCCGGATAGGGCCCCTCATCTCGGCAAACTGAATCAGAGCTGAATCGGAACTGGTTTGAAGATGTACGTCCTGTCGAGAAAAAAACAAAGTGCACATCAAAAACTTGCCCACAGTTCTGTATCTCCTGGATTACCCCGGTTACAAAAGAAATCTAAAGTGTGCACGAAGAGTTGTTATTGTATACTCGCTTGTATGGGTAAACAAGTTGACTTGTCGGTTTGTCGGAATGTGACAACAGAGAATAGTGATAGTAATGCTGGTCCTCCTGACCCAATGTCACAGACCTATTGGCAGTCTCCACAGACCACCATAAAATCCATGTTTACTTTACTGGTTATCGGCATTGCGCCCGGGATGAGACTATTAGTGTAAGCTGTAGTAACAAAAAGTAAGCGAACGTTTGCTGACATCTTTCTAAAGACTGAACTAACGAAATTGGCCAAACCATGTCCGCTGCTAGTCACAATTGCAATATTAAATGGTTATCACTCTTTGGCCAGACATTATGGGAAGATGGACTCGCAGTCACAGGACCTAACGTCCGGCCAGAGTGATAACCAGTTAATATTGCAGTTGTGATTAGCAGCATACATAGTTTGACCGGTTCCGCCAGGTGAGTCTTTAGAAAGAAGTCAGACAACATCCGCCTATTTTTTGTTACTGTAGCTTACACTAATAGTCCCATCCTGGGCGCAATACCGACAACCAGTAACGTAAACATTGATTTTATGGTTGTCTGTGGAGACTATCAACAAAACTGGGTTGCTCAACATATCTACACCGTTAGATACACGAAAGTATGCTAAAGCAGCAGCCGGAACATATGGTTACGTAGTCGACGGCAGTAGTTGCAAGCAGTGGAGAATTAAGCTGCCCGTATGTCGTAAACGAAGAGGATCTTACATCTATGGATAGGACGCACGGTGACGAGCTGTGAAATGAAGTAGAATGAAGACCCGGACGAAGGGAGGGCAGTTGCATCATATCAGCTTCACGGTCGCCCAAGTCAAGACCTTTTAGGTATGCGGTGTGTAGATTGATGAATAATGTTTCCGAAATCCCCTCTTGAGCATCAAGCCGTGCTCACATGAATAATACGACCAGATCTTCCGTGAGTGGTCATCTGCGACAACAATAGACAGAGCCTTAGTGACATTGACGGTTATGTCAAATGGCCGAACGAATTCGTATACATAGAGCAGTGCATTTTGGTTAATGGATTAAATCGAGGGATACAATCCCACCCTTGACGGATCAGGGTTTCGGGCGTTGGATTTATTTCATACGATGGGCAGTGAGTTAATTCATTAGGCTTATGGCCCATCTTTTCGGCCCGCGTGACTATTATTCAATTGGTTACCGAACACCGATAAGCAGTTTAGGGTACTCAGCGAACTCGCATTTCGACTGGACAAAAAGCAATGGATCAGTTCATCATTTAATTGGACTTTTCTGCAGTAGGAACACTGACTGTCCCGGAAATCAGTCGATCGTAGTCGAGTCAACGATTCAAGGCGATGATTCCTATACGTAGTACAGCATAAGAATGAAGGTAGCCAGAAAATCGAACAAAGCTGGTACCCAGTAGAGGAACTTTGGTAAGTGTGAATGTACCTGTACAGCGTTGAAATGAATGTGTGGAGACCATAAAATCAATAGCTATGCGATGGTATCGATCGTACCCAGTGAAAGATGCCTGTAACGACAGTGTTTGCAATTGTGTGCACATAAACACAACCGTGCAATAATACACAAAGCATCACAATGCAACGGTAGACAGACAAAATACTACCAGCAGCGAAGCAAGGTGCCACTGCACAACCAAGGCTAGTGGTTGCAACCAGAATACAAACACCTACAAACAATGGTTCACGCGCGTGGCTGCGCACAAACACGACTACAAATCCGCACCTAACATTATCGGAGTCAGACAGGCACAGGAAGTGCGCCACAGCGGTCAGGCCTGGGTCACATAGATAGCGGACGAAATCTATTACATCGTGGTCAGCTCGCAAGCATCCCATGTGATGTCCACGTAGATTTATGCAAACAGTGACAGGAACCGATCGACAGGAACACAAAACAAAGCAAACGCATCGTAAAGTTGGATCGATAGCAGTGAATGTGAATGCGAATCTACGACAATTGGTTTGTGTGTAGGTGTGATCGTCCAGAGTGAAGTATATGCACAGCATGGAATGATACCACCAAGGTCGACCATTGATAAGTGAATTTTTCAGGCAGTTCTCCAGATGAATGGGAAAAATAGGTGTTGCTATCGTATGTAACCTAAGCTGCTCCATTAGAGCGCGGCTACCAACTACAGAGAGACTGGCAACAGTGGCGACATATGTTGGGACGGCACATCTCGATTAGGTGCCAGACTTGTGTATTGATAACCGATGGTATAGCCTGTAATGCTACGTTTTAGTATTAGAAGCCTGTTTCATTGGAAACTTACGACTCGCAGCCTGTTTGACCGCACTGAGGTGAATCGGACTGATAACCACCCCCACCCAAAAGCTCGAATGCGTCATTCAAGTCCATAAATGTACTGAGTTGTGAATGTCACTTTCGTCCTTTCAAAGGATCATTCTTGACCATGGTATCTGCTTCGTACACAACTTATCGCCTGGCACTTTTGGTACATACGGATAACTAATTCCAATCCAATCAGTTAGTATGAGCCCCAGATCACGGAAAAGTAGCACAAACCATTAATAACCACCTACTATAGTGCTCTGAATACCACGACACCTAAATTGGTGGATGCTGGGACATAGAAAAGGGGTGATAGGATTCCGTACATAGTCGTTGGAAGGAACATCAGTTCTCGCTACCCACATAAACCTTTTGCAGATACCTGAAGGAGCACGGAAAGTGACGAAACAGACCGTCAGAATCTGCTTTAACCAAATGACCTCATCGGCAAGGGTCAGTAGAGGGACTAGTTTGCTGATGCTCTTCCTGGGTTCGGTATTCAATGATTTGAGATCCGTTCAAGTGGCTGATCGTTTAGAATAACGAAAGGAAGATGATACATTTGCTAATGCTAGAGTCACAAGCAAAATGATGAATAGTAGATTTGTGAAAGAGGAGCTGGTGTTGCTAACCATACAATGCAGATCCTCCTGGAGGGTCAAGTGCCACATTAGCTCTAAGCTTTGAAGCTTTATTCCAGATTACACTAAAAACTTATTTTTTTAATTGCACACCAAAATTAATGGTGAATACCACTGTACTACCTAAAAAAACTGGGTATATAATAGCACGAGATGTTCGTTCACCTGGGAAATCTGAACTAATTAATCTCCTCGATTCAGGTGAGTTGCCAGCTAAGATGAATCACACTGTCTACATCCAAGCTGAGGATGACCAGACACTAAATACTCAAGGGATGCTCATATGAATCCACTTTCACACAGAAGACATTTGAAAAGAACACGCATTCTGAATTCAACGGTCCACCGGATAAAGCTGGTGGCTGCCATAACAAAAGAAACATCACCGACGGGACTCGCAGAATGATTCCGCATCGATTATGACAGTTTAGATCTTGCGGACCTAAGTTGCCTTTGTAACTACTTTGAATGCTAATATCTCTTAAAATGTACAGTGCTGGCGATGTTTTCGAGTAGAATAGAAATTATGAACTGTGATACCTTAATGACCACTCACTATGATATCGCCAAATTTCCGAAACGCTGTCGTCAGTTGATCGCTTGTAACTGGACCGGTGGGTCCAGCCGTAAGACCGGCGACATATAGTGTTCGCGTAGGACATTTGCTCGTTTGAGTGACTTGGAAATTGTCTGGATTCGGCTGTAGTCGCGAATTAGGGTGAGGTGGAACGTTCACACAAGTGGTTGATGTATTGAGAGGTTCCGCGACATTTATCCCCGGACCAGATTTGGGGGGACATTCCTCGGACCCTAGAGGTCAGTGAATAAAGTGAAAAAGTTTAGAATGTAACTGTTCAGATCCAGTGCTCTCACAAGCGCTTGGAAAAAGGATAACACGTGAAAAGCCTGGACTATGGACTCATTCCGAAGAACTGAATGATAATCTGGTACTCAGTAAGCCCTAGGAACAAATTCGTCGGGGGTACTCTGTGTCGATGACGACAGCTGGGTGCTTAAATGGGACCCGGGGAATCGCTCAGTCAATTTGAAGGGGAACGGATTGGGGACAGAATCTCAAACCTAACTACTGAAAGATGGATGTTCGTGTCATGACACAAGTAAACAATTTTAGTTAGTGTTTAAAACTATGAGAATGTGGACAAAACGAACGCACCCGATGTCACAGGCAGTGGTGGGGAAAGAAATGATTCTATTGTACACACAACCCAGCAGCAAGGTGTACATAGTAGCACACAGTTTCCGAGATTTTATTTGATGTTACGCATGATCGTTGAGCCGGATAATTCGATTGAAAGAGTTTCATCACCAATTAAGGTGACTTCATCAGTAAGTTGTAAGGTAGCGATACATCCGCTGACGCACCACCGCTGCTCAGCGCACTGATTATGAGATGTCAGGTGCTGGCGAGGCGAACTGCCAAGCTCAACGAACAGGTTGAGATTCATTAGAGGGTAACCACGATTGACGGTCGCGATTTAGTTTCATGATCGAATGACCAAGTTTTTTAATCGCACAGAAATCGAATCCAGCTTTGATTGCTGAGGATAGTCTAGACGACATGTGGCTAGGACGAAAAGATAATCTCTACAAGACTACGGGGGAGCTATACATAATCAAGGATAGCATCTATTCAGATTGTGACTAAAGTTACTAATGCGACAGTTGGTAGAAGGAGCGAGCGATAGCAGCGAAAATTCTGAGGGTTAACAAGATGGACGGAGTTAATGAGGTAAGTAACCGAATACACCGGAAACACCAAATAACAGCGTGAACTTCGACATCAGACCAACCATTTTTGAACAATGAGCTCCAGTTTAGGAAATCGAAGCTCGATTGACTATAGTTTCGAGTTTTAACATATACGATCCTCGTTTGTGATACAGACCCAAGGGTATGAAAACTAAAATCAGTAACTGTCGCGCATACAGGCTCCGTCCAAAGTAAATTACGAAGAAAACTACGAGTGGGACCCAATGCCCTAATCCCAAGAAATATTTCCGAACTTCACTGCATTGCCTTTATTGTTTTCGGTTCACTGCCAAAATGAGCAGAACAACTGTTGTTGTGAGTCAAGACCAGGGGGACCCAAAAGTCAGCCCGAAAAACAACCGAGAATGCGGACAGTTATTATTAAAAATATCGGACCTGAGAACTACTTACACTTCACACTAGGTTACGAACAAGTATGATAAGTTTCAGTAGAATGAAGGTGAAACTGTGGGTTGCCAAAGCTCTACAGATGAACACAAAAGCCACATATAAGTGGTTTACAAGACTTGGTGGTGAGGGTACTAGTGGAACAAAGCGGTAGTGATTGTTAAAAACTACCGATGATATCGGGTCTTAGGTAGAATACTTCATCACGGTGGGTCTGAGTACGGTAACCTCTCAAGCGCAAACCCACACAAGACTGAACAAAACCGTTCGATTTTCAGAAACGCTGCTCCACGTACTTGAGCGGTGCCATTGTATTAAGACCCTATCGATAGCCCCAACCGAACGACCGCAATTGCCAAATCATGGTGTAAACACCACTTTAGTTCCCTCAAGTGATTCATCCACAAGTCGCGTGGGTGGCTTGGCCAACTTGAGCCGTGACCAAGCGCAGTGCAGAAAACATCAGCAATGAGCTTTCACACACCTAACGGGTGACTATGACATTAAGTGAATCTGGTTATTGTCCAGGAGTTTCATGGTGCTACCCTTAAGCCTTCACCGCTGAGCAATGTTGGTGGTCAGGTAACTGCATATCATCAGCATTTCATCGAAGGTAAGGTGACAAACCCGGTGAGTTCAGAAAATTGTGATAGAAAGACACTCATAATTCTGAACCAGATGGATGGTACAATTAAGACGAAGCAATATGAATGAGACAGTGAACAGTCATAATAGATGTAAAAATCATGAAAATTGCGGAACAAGGGTTCAATCTAGCTGATAGGTGGGTTGACAAGATCGGGCCTAGCATATACTTCTCCTAAGTCACGCCGTGTTGAATTGTATCCAGTCACACCAGAAAACTCACCAGTGAAACCAGGATGATGCTCAACAACCACAGATGTTGAAAATAACAACTTTTCTCCACTACGAATGGCCTGGTAGGCGCTTTCGGCTTCTTCGGATCTTCGAAAAGTGATGATGGCGACCCTAGTGGCACCAGAAAGCTCGGATGGAGCTAAGGATGCTGGAGAGTTACTGCCGGGAAGAACGATCGACTGAATACGACCGCAACGCCGAAATTCCGTGAACAAACCTTGCCTCAAGTGCTCATCGGAAAGTTTGCTGACTGGAGGAAGGTTGCTTAACTTCAGCCCACGCGGAGAAGCCGAAGTTCTCAGAGGCAGTGCTGAGCTTTGCACCGGCCGAAGCACTTGGTCATTGTTGTGAAGATTCGTAAACGTTCGTTCATCTGCCCTCTTGGATACTAGATAAGGACGTCCCGATTGACCGTTCGGTTTCGTAGGTTGAGACGCTTCATGCGTAGTTCTGGGTAGCAGCTTTTTGCTCGACTGATCTTTGCTGCAAACAGAACATATAAGTATGGGAGTTACATGTAGGTAGATACAAGGCAAGCAACTAGAAAAATCAGATTATGCATTGATGCCACGCAACGTGAAGAAACATGGGAGCTAAGATACTGTTGGTCGCTTTGGCGTACATGGAAACTATCAAAAAGTCGAGTACACACGAACGACTAGGGTTTCCGTCAGAAACCCGCGTTACAAGCCTCGAGCTATCTTGCATTGAGATCCACAGGGTTTAATAGCTCTATTGTCTTACAGCTTGGATAGTTTCACTTACGTGTCTCTTGAACCGTTGATCACTGCTATGAACTTAGTGGGTTCGTCTATTCACGGGAATCCCACAGCAATGTTGAACAGAGTTCACACTACAGCCGTAATTGGAGACACCTTGGAAGTCCAGAGGCTTATCGTTTGAATCTGCATAAGAATAGGGAACACGCGCTTAACCGGACAACGGGCAGTAAACACGGTGAGAAACCCCCTCTAAAAGGAACATTCAGTTGCTTGGCGACGGATTCTGCCTGAGATCTTACGTCATTCGCTCCAACTAGTGAGAACGCAGGCTAATAAGTTCGTGTTGCTAACACGCCGCTGTAATGTTGTGTTTCGTTAAGTTGACAATTGGGACTACCAAGTACTGGTCATGTTTTAAAGCGATACACTTTATCTCAAGGTGTTTTTGGTTAGTTTCATCCGGACTTGTTGCCATGATCGTTTATCAGCTGATTCGAAATATGATAACAAGGCGTGGTCCGGTCCGAAAAATTTGTCGCACGATTACCTTCGAGACTCACCAGGTAGGCGCAGAGATTGGGCGCGTATCTACTGGGTTGTGAACCGCCGAGCGACCAGGTAGAAAATAAAGATTGCATTGATAGAAAGAATCGTCAGCATTTGCAGCTCAGCCGTAGACAGAGATCTACTCCATTCTTTGCATAACACCAATTCATTCTGCAAATGAATGCCTTTCATTGAATCTGTCCTCTCTATGGATGATTAGTCTTCGAGTGAAAACGAACGATTAGTCAACAAGAGCTATCGTAAAAGATTTGTGATTCACCGGGTCTCACATCCGTTCCCTCGATTCTGAATGAAATGACGAGTAGCTTGCTTAAGTACAGATGGCTTTATTGGTTGCCTTTAGCGTATGGAAAGTTGACGAAGATTACTCGATATCATTCAGTTGCTACAGCACTCGATCGGCCCAGTGAGTTTGGATCTACGTTTCCACTATCCTTGAGTGAAGCTGCAAGGTAAATAGCACCTCAGTTCTCGTGCTTCCTTCGCGCTGCGCGGTGGCTATGTAGAGGGAGGGCTCCACAGCTAAGCGATTGTGTGAATTAAGAGGACGCCGGTGAACTCTTCAATCTTATAATGTTACGTAAAGAAACTTCGATATACCAATATACCGATATCCAATTAAAAAACTAAACAACCTTTATACAGCACATTCAGTTGAAGAATATCACAAGAAATCCCAGTCTCCCGTTACTGATAGCTTGATTTTAAAATAAGGGTATAACTTCAGTTTACAGTCGTGTCCGAAAAAAGCAAATTGATCCTCTCACTTAGTCACTCCAATTCGAGCAAATGTTTTCTGAATCCAGTCAGGTTAATCAAAACTCATCCATCCATGGTAGCGCGCCAAGTTCAAACAATTCAAAGACAGTGGACACCATATGAAAGGGATTGGATGCGGCCCTGACGTCTACAAGCGGCCTCCGGGTTACTGTATGCTGACACTCCAATTTTGTACCTTACCTGTATTTTTACACAGGTCCATCACTCCATGGAATTTCATACTGGTGTATTAAAAAGCCAGTGACTCGGACAATGGAGGGGAGGGGGTGATCCAGTTTTCTGGGGTATTAAATAAGCCTGTGAGTAGCGCATCCAACAGCTTCGCATGGTACGCACATCGAATTCATCGGAGAAATCAGACCGGCGTCAGAGAAGCTTAGTTAAACCTTAAGTTGTTTCCAGCGTTAAGTATCAGTTTCTTTGCAGTCCATGAAAGCATCTGATGCACTACCAAAAATAACGTGAAGACGTCTACCAGACTATATGGACGATTGCTTGAGATTTCGGCAACGTCAAANAGCAGTCCACAGCATACACAACAAGCAGAAGGAAAGGCAGAATGACGGCTTGGAGATATCCTGCATGAACTTTATTCACCCGGAATTAGTTGGTATACCAAAATCCGGGTTTTTACTTATCAATGTTTCCGATGTTTTAAACAGTCTAATAGAAATATTCCTGCTATTTTTGGTAGTGCATCTAAAAAGACCTGTTCCGACAGTGGTTTTCGTGGTCACTCCACTTGGGCCCTGATGAGCTGATTCAGTCCCCATGCCAGTGCCTTACTATTTCTCGTTGAATCGAAATGGAGGCTGAGGAGTACTTATAAGATCCGAAAAGACAAATATGCTTTCAGTAACAGCGTAATGGGTGTTAAAAATCTGCTAAATCGAATAATTGAGACGTATACAGCAAGTTGCGCATTGTAAGCTGAAAGTGAGCGTCAACCGTGTCAGCAACTTTTGTTTCGGACAGTTGCCATTCAAGCGAGTGGATGTAAACCATCGATGGGGTCAGTCAGTCGGTTACGATTTAATCAGGAGAAAAAGGGCTTGAGAATAAGAAGCGAACCCCTGACCGGCTCTCTCACGCGCACTGTGCGTATCGGCATCATGGGCAAGGTTGTCTAATGGCTAGTTAGTGCGCTCATGGCGTTCAGCTGTAGCACCCTTCCGGTGCCTAGCTGCCATGCCACCCGAAGGAAGCACGAGGGCTGGGATACTGCCAGGTTGCCCAAGCCTAGACAGGGGAAGTCGAGTGGCGGAGGTCGGATTCGAACCGCGNCCACGGACCTTCCGGTCAGTAAATTCGTGCTCTAACCACTTGGGCCATCTCGCCCCGTGCGCTCATGGACGGGTGTCTGGTGGAGAAAATCTGCTTTTTGGATGTCCATAGGGCACATGAGAGCCCTCTTTCCACTACACGAACTATGAGAGTACATAACTGTCAATCATCGTTCAGTATGCACTGTTTTCAGACAGGGTAGCACAACTTTAGGTGACCCGGGATGAAAACTGTTTGTCAGAACAAAACACTATTCATCCTGGGTCTATGCACATCCGTGCAACAACTCGAGCTCACTGTCGAAGACCGAACTGGCGAACCTAGTGAGTGGAAATCGTCACATTAGAGTCTTGCTTATCGTGGGATTATTGCCATAATGCTTGCATCAACCCACACATCCAAAGATAATTGTGGGACTAAAAAACCAAGTGGGATCATGTAATTTCGAGGGACGGCGCCTCTAGCTACCGCAGTAACCAAAGCATATTACGTAAGTTCCCAAGGGTGATTTCCATTGTGATTAACTCGGTGATTAAGTTGGTTTTGTTTCGGCTTCTGCATGCACCAGCCCATCTCATGGTACGCGTGTAACTTGAAACGGGCTTATGGTTGCCGAGACATCAGCGAAGAATGCGCATGTCAAGATATGCATTAGCAATGAAGGTTAGTGATAAACTCCGTTTATTTTCGGCTGAGCTCTGTTTACACACCCTTTCGGATACAAGCCATTGATTTATTCGACGAGCTAAATAAATATCCGTGTTATGTTAACCATCTGTTGCTATGCTTTCGATGAAGGCAGTATGGGCGCGATGCAAATGTGACTTGTATTGCGAGGAGGAAAAACAAAGGATCAGTCGGAAGTCGTAACTCCAGTTGGGCGCAGTGTTCCGAGGCTGAAAGAATAAACTAATCAAAGCTAGAGTAACGCAACTCAGGATTATTTGGGTGCTAAAGCCAATTTTATGTGGATGATAGACACAATTCAAACGAAACGTCTTTTGGTGACTAGCTGATTAAAAACACTAATGGAATAGATGGGGTGAATGATCTACAGAGCGGAAACTTCATAAGTGCCACTCTTCCTGAAGCGACAGATTTCACTGTTCACCTAAAGTAGTTGTCCTGGCGGTAGGAGTACAGGACGTTCGAAGTAGAGAGCCACTGTCTTGTGCCCGATGAAATGACTGTAAACTGAAACACTGGGTAAATAGCAACTCAGTGCGATGGGTGGACATATTTTTTGAGCCAAAGGTCAGTAATCCTTGAAATTATAAGTTCTAAGATGCAGTCACTCGATACTTTTCCCATTTGCCTCACAGAGGATAGCTGTCAATTGATCCGGTCGCTTAGATTCACGTCACCGCAAGGGATGGACTGGCTCTGTGCCACACGTCAACGTATTACAAGTATTTGCGATACCGACAAGTAACCAGTTTTCTTGATTAAGCGATGTGTTGACAGGACGCGTAAACTAGCACATGATTGCTGGATCGTAATTTATCGGAAAATGAATGCTGCTGTCTTCGTCGAACAGATTAAATTACCTTGAGTCCATAGCTGTATTCATTTAGGAAGACTGGTTTCAAACTAACTTCTCTGAAAGAGTGAACTTTGAAATTGCCACCTCAACAACATAACCGCGGGGATGTAGGGTTCTTTTTATACGTTTATTGGAAATCTCATGCGCACCAGAGTATAGCCTTATTCAAACAACGCGAAACTATTTTTGGGCATGTGGACGTGAATCTTCAAAAATCGCAACCCCTCCCAATACTATATGCCCAAGCTGATTTTCACGCACAACTCGGAGTTTAGGTTTGAGTGGAAAATCGGAGAACCGGATACTAACGTCAATAAAAATAAAACGATCGCATCTTGGTTAAGGATTAGCTGAAAACGGCTATTTTCAGTGTGTGCACCAACTAGCAGTCAGCGAGAGGACACGAAGCAGGAGCAACGGGGTATTGATCAGGAGGCTGGGAACAAAGCATAAGAACTACAGTATGTGGAAATGCTGGTCTGCTTGGTCCGTGGATGTAGCGGTACAAGGCGTCACAATCCCATCGGGGTAGTTGGAACAAGCAATAAAGTACCTGTTTGCCACAAAGTACATGATGACTCACTCAA